TTTTTAAAAAATTTATTATGTTTATTTGATTATTTTTATTTTATGTGTATGATAAATGTATTGCCCACATGTATGTAAGTGCACAGAAGTCTGGAACTAGATTATAGACAGGTGTCAGCTGTCATGTGGGTACTGGGAATCGAACCCAGGTCCTCTGGAAGAACAGCAAGTGTTCTTAACTACTAAGCCCCCTAATAAAAGGTTTTTTTTTTAAAAAGCAGTACAGAGGCTATGAGTAAGAGTAAGGTAAGACTCTATAATCATGGGCCTTTCGCAGGAGTGAAATCTAGAAAAAAAAATTGACCATTACTACTTACATGATGTAGTAGTTTAAAAATGATCAATCCCACATGTGTAGAAATTATTTCTTAACAGTAAGACTTATAGACTCAGGTATTTCAAAATGTTTCTTAGAAGCCATTGTTAATTATGATGATTTACAATGCTAGCCACAAAGTCCTAACACCTCCTTAAAAACACAATAGATCAGGACTGGACAGATGGCTCAGTGGTTAAGACCACTGGTTGTTTTTTCAGAGGATCTAGGTTTGGTTCCCAGCACCCATATGGATAACAATCATCTAAAACTCCAATTCTAGGGAATCCAACACCCTCTTTTGGCCTCTGTGGGTACTGCACACACAGGTACACTTACATACACGCAGACAAAACACTCATACACATAAAATAAATAAAAAAAGAATTAAAAAAAAAGATTCTCCCACTTTTAAATTTTATTATTTTTATTTTATGAGTATAATGCCTGCATGTAGGTGGGTATACCTATGTCATGCAATGCCCATGGAAGTCAAGAGAGGGTGTTGGATCCTCTGGAACTGGAGTTATGGATAGTTATTAGCTGCCATGCAGGTGCTGGGAATCGAACCTGGTTCCTCTCCAAAAACAGTCAGTGCTCTTAATCCCTGAGCCATCCCTCCAACCCTAGATTCTCCCACTTTTAAGGTCTGATACCACAAAGAAAACTAGACACATGCTTCACAACTTTTTCTTTTTTAACAACTTATTAAATTCATGAAATTTATGTTTTAGTAGTATTTAGTAACATCCAACAGTGCAGTAATATTTAATAAATGTAATAAAATATAGCAAGATCTGTCAGCCAATTCATTTTTGTTAATTAAAAGCAATAACATAATTAAATATTGTCTATCAGCATGTGTGATCTAACAGTGGACACATATACCAATGTGTGTATTGAAAGGAGCACATATTTCCTTTTTAGGTGGGCTTCATATCAAATTACCAGACACGATTCGTACCTTGGTCTCACGACCCATCATATATTCAAAAAGCACTTTTCGCAAATACTCAAATTCGGTAGGTTCTCCCAATAGCGAGACATCAGTATGGTACAAATTGCCACCTGTCAGATAAAGACAAAATGAATTACAAAATCAGACCCAAATTACTTTTCTTGTATGTAGAAAGTAGACACATTAGAAAACAATGACTGGGGAGAAAAGAAGCACTGTTCAGATTGATTACACTGTGCTATCTACACACATCCACACTAAATATTCCAACTGGTGCGTGAGAACAGAAAATAGGAATTGTTACTAAAAAAAATACTTATTTCCAGTATCTTTTTTCCTCTCCTTTTTGCACCACAATTTAAAAAATTATATGGGCAACACAAAGGCTCCTTAACACTGGTATTTCTCTGCTACGTATTATGTAGATGGCTTCAGATATTCTACAATGACTAAAATTACCATTTTTATTTTATTAAGGATTTAGTGCCTCAGACTTTTCTAGTATTCCTAAGTATTCCAATCTTAAAGTACCCAATTTAAATCAAATTTTCAAATATGCTAAGTGATATAACTGGATCGTATGGTACTCAAAGTTTTTATAAGAACCCAGAGACCAGCTTCCAGCCTTGAAACACAAGAGTAAGCCAGAGACTTTGCTAGAAGATAGGGAACTCTGCCTGCCTGAAAGGCAACTACTCAGTACAAATCCTGTCCTTGCTGCTATTCCAAGTTTAATTTAATTTAATTTAATTATTTTTGGTCTTTTTGAGACAGGGTCTCCCTGTAGCCCCAGCTGTCCTGGAACTCACTATGTAGACCAGGCTGGCCTTGAACTCACAGAGATCCACCTGCCTCTGCCTCCCAAGTGCTGGGATTAAAGGCATGTGCCACCATGCCTGGCCCTTTATTTTTTTTAACTTATTTTTTAAATTTTTTTATGTGCATTTGTATATTGCCTGCATGTAGGTAAGTGCACCCGTATCGTGCAATGCCTGCAACGGTCAGAAGAGGCTGTCAGATCCTCTGGGACTGGAGTTACAGACAGTTGTTAGCTGCTATGTGGGTGCTGGGATTCAAACCCAGGTCTTCTGCAGCAACAACCAGTGTTCTTAACCACTGAGCCATCTCTCCAGCCCCTATTCCAAGTTTTAAAAAGAAGAAGGATTCCTTGAGAATGCCTGAGCACTGTCCTACTCTTAGGACACTGGCCTCAGCTCTCATAGTCCTCAGACAAGGAATTTTAAAACTAAGAAAATTAACTGTAGACTGGTTGTGCCTCTGGAACCCAACAGAAGCAAATACAAATCTTCTTTTACAAAATCCGTAACCCAGGATTGTTCAAAGTAACAAACAATATGTTAACACATAGTTATATGGGAGCTAAAATTATAAAAGTTTTTGAAGAAGCATGATTAATCTTCATGACTTTAAGGGAAAACAGACAAGAAGATACAAAATTGATAAAATGTACTATCTCAAAAGTAAGAATTTTTGTGCTTCAAAAAACATCATAAACAATAAAAAGAAATTTGGATATAAGTAATTCAGTAAGAAAAAGACAAAAAAATCTTTATTTTAAAATAAGCAAAAGAGGGGACTGGAGAGATGGCTCAGTGGTTAAGAGTACTGACTGCTCTTGCAGAGGATGTGGGTTCAATTCCTAGTACCCACATGGTGGCTAACAACTATCTAAAACTCCAGTTATATCTGACACCCTCTTCTGACCTCTGTGGGCACTGTATGACATGAGTGCACTTATATACATGTAAATAATACACTCATACATATAAAATAAAAATAATAAATAATAAGATAAGCAAAAGATCTGGGTATGGTGATGAGTGTCTATAATCCCAGCACTCAGGCAGAAGCTGGAGGATGAGTTCGAAGCCAGCCTTGGATACATAGTGACTACATGAGACTGTCTGAAAATAAATAAAAATCAAAATAAATACATACAAGCAGTATGACCTGTGAAGGACATGGTTGATGACCCCACCCTCTGTGGTGAGAGACTGATGGTCAGCAGGGACTATTGAAAAAGCAAATCCACTTGAAAACTCAATTTCCACAGCATCTTTCCTACAGTGTTTAATGATGGGAAGGATTTGGGAGTACTTGACTTGTCCTTCAGTACAGACCACAATGCTCCATTTGTTCCTTCCACTCTCCAAGGCACTCAGGGGAAACCTATTGGTATAGGCTACCCCTAGTTGTATAAATCGAGTTGTCTCTGGAACAAGTGACAACAAGCCCAGCTCACAGGCTGCAAAGTTTGAGGCCAGGAGGAGCTTCTGATGTGGAAGGGGAGCTCCTAAAATGAGCATGGCCCTGAATAAGTTGACTGCTATAAAGGCTGAGAGACAGGATCTCGTTTCAGTCTCCTATATATGGATATCCAGTTTTCCCAAGACCATTCGATGAAGAGAACATCTTTTCTCAAATATATGTTTTTGGCATTGTCAAAATCAGGTAGCTGTGACTCTGTGGGTTTATTTCTGAGTCCTTTATTCTACAAGATTGGTCCACATGTAAACAGACTTTTGAAATAAGGACAAATAGCCAGTAAATACATGAAAACATGTTCAAAATCTTTATTCACAAGGGAAATGCAAATAAAAACTACGTAGGTACCATCTCATCCATGTGGGAGGGTTATCATCAAGAAAAGAAAAAAACACACAAATGTTGGCAAGGGTGTAGGGAGAAAGGAGCTCTCTCATACGCTGATGACAACTACCTCAGCCACTATGGCAATCCGAATAAAGATTCTTCAAACTTAAAAATAGAACTACCACTAGGAACTGAAATTGAAAAATATAAAATTGAAATCTTGATATTACACCACATGCAGATCAGCTCAAGCACTGAAGTGCCACACACACTATACACAGCAGTGATAAGATGCTGCAGAGGTAAGACCCATCCCCACAGCTAGAGGAGGGAGAGCTAGTACAATAAATGCAGAAGACATTATGTGTAACTGTGCTGGATAGCTTTAGTGTCAACTTGACACACCCGGGTTGAGGGAGCCTCAATCGGGAAATTGCCTCTATTGGACTGGCCTGTGACCATGTCTGAAGGGCATCTTCTTGATGAGTGATGTGGGAGGGCCCAGCCCACTGTGGGTGGTGCCACCCCTGAGCAGGTGGGCCTGTGTTGCATAAGAAAGCAGGCTGAGCAGGGGCCAAGGGAGCAAGCCAGTAAGCAGTGTTCCTCCATGGCCTGTGCTCCAGCTCCTGCTTCCAGGTTCCTGCCCTGAGTTCCTACCTTGGGCTCCCTGATGAACTACGACCTGGGAGATGTAAGCTAAATAAACCCTTTCCTCCCCAAGTTGGTAGTGGTTAGAGTGTTTTGTCACAGCAATGAAGAAACAAAACAGGACAGTAACCTTTACATACTTTAAACAAAAATGTTCATGATCTGACAAGTCTATTCTTACTTGTGTGTTCACACAGAGACTACTAGGAAACATGTACAAGTATGAACAAAGCTAATGTAATAAAATGAGTCACCCATGTCCACCTGGGTGATTCTCAAGCCTACATTAAAACAAAAGAAAGAAATAGATCATGTGAGTTCCCCAACTGGCTAAATCTAAACAAAATTTTGCTAGAAAAGATGTATGCTATTAAGAAAGAATGACAGGAGGAGGAGCAGCACAGTTGTCAGAGGGGCTCAGAACAAGTACTAAATGTATTATTATACAAGTATACACAGAGGGCTGGGGAGATGGCTCAGCAGTTAAGAGCACTGGCTGTTCTTGCAGAGAACCCAGGCTGGGTTCCCAGCATCCACACGGTGGCTAACAACCACATGTAACTCCAGTTACAGGGAATCAGATACCCTCTTCTGACTTCCACAGGCACTATACATACATGGTGTACTTTCATACACATAAAATAAAAATAAATTTAAAAACAAGTGTACATAGGAGCTTATAAAGAACAGTAATGTTTTATTACTCTAAAGGAGGGTAATCATTCAAATCTCACTCTTTAAAGCAGCAGCATGGAAAAGAGATGCATGTGCATAGTCCATCGTATATTTTGGTGCTTTCTTAGAGGGTTAAATGTGTTGATATATATAATGCATGCAAAACAGTGCTTGGCACTGGGACTTAGTATTATGTGTTAGTCCTGAAATAAACTGTGTATGTATATCTACAAAATGCAAAAGTGAATTATATATGAAATCCTTAAGTTGAATCTAACCAAAGCAGTCTATCTTATTCTCTGAACACTTCTGAGCATTACGTCTGCACAGTTTCATGCTGAGAATACCATACAGTGACATATGGCAAATAATATTCAGCAACAATGATCTCTACAGTGAGCAGAGGGAGTTTTCAGGTTGGATTTTACTTCTTTTTCAAGAATAGTTTCACTTACTGGCATTAACCCTTTTATTTCCCAGAACCAACATTACTCAAAAAAAAAATAAAAAATAAAAACTTGGAGTATTTCCATTAAAATCAGAACAAGGCTGTACCTATCCCAGTCCTTTTCGATATAGTACTTGAAATTCTAGCTAGAGTACTGAGGCGAAATTAAAGGGGTACTAATTGCAAAACAAGTGAAACTGTCCTTATTTGCAGATGATAACAGCATTATATGTAAGAGATCCCAGAAATTCCACCAGAAAACTTCTAGAAATGATCAACACTTTCAGCAAAGTGGCAGGTTAAAAAAATCAATCTACAAAAATCAGTGACCTTTCTATAGATAAATTAGCTATCAGAGATAGAAGCTCAGGGATCATTGAGGAAGATGGGGCAGAAAGACTTTAAGAGCCAGAGTGGGTGGATGAGCACAAGGAAACAGTCTTCCAGACAACCAGTCAGTTACTCATATGAAATCTCAGTAATGGTGACAGCAAGCTCAAATCAGACAAAAACCCCAGCATAGACATGGGGAAGTGGGTAAGAAATCCCAACCCAACCTAAGGAACTTTTGGCAATTGACGGCTGCTGAGAGTGGGAAAGACAGTGTCTCATGGGGATGGAACTCTTGGTAGGTCCAGTGGATGGACATTTGGGGACACAAATCAGTCTATAGGCTGTAGATTGTGTGTGTGTGTGTGTGTGTGTGTGTGTGTGTGTGTGTGTGTGTGTGTGTATGAGAGGACATTAAATTGCGTGAGAGGCAATGGGGGAGGTGTGGATAGGGACTTAAATACCATCAAACTACATTGTATGAAAAGCACAAAAATACAATAAATAGAAAAAAGCATGGTAGCTTATGTCATTTCATAGCAATAAGAGCTTTCAAAAACATAAAAGAATACTTAACAGCTTTGATTGGTGGTCTTGTGCTTCCCATGAGAAAACCGAAAGTTTTGTAAAACGTGTAAAATAAGAACTATTCCTAATCCAGTGAATTAGAGAAAGGAATCTTTAGAGAATAGATTATTCCAAGGGCATGATTACTTCTCTAGAGAACCACAAATAAAGACCCAAGTTTATCTTTAAACCCATTAGAAGTAGAATACTTTACCTAAATCTAGAGGGGGGAAAAAGCTATGTAATTCTATAGAATTCTAAAGAATTTTTATGAAATTATTTTTTCCTTGTATCATGCTTTAAAATGATTACAGCATTGTAACAGAAAAACAGAAGACATCTAAAGTGTGTGTGTGTGTGTGTGTGTGTTTGTGTGTGGGTGTGTGGTGTGTGTGCGCTTGAGCATACCCTGGCATGTATAAAGTGTGTGTGTGTGTGTGTGTGTGTGGGGGGGCGAGTGGGGACCGTGGG